AGATCCCCCAATGAGATGGATTGGCACAGTGGCAGCAGCAATGGAATCCAGCAATGATTGTGAGGTTGGCACAGGATGGGGCAGCGTTTCATTCTGTTGTGCATGAGAGCTATGAGTTGGTACTGACTGCACAGCACCTAATAACAACAACATGAACTAAAATATTTATTGAATGAGAGGGTTTGACCTGATAAATGGTGGGAAGCTACAACAATGAGATACCCTAATAAATCAACGCTATGAGAGCCAGAGGTGAAGAATTAAACTAAGAATGAGAACCCATGGTCTAGAGGCAAAAGTTGCAGGAACCAGCCTGCATGAACGGGTCTTGGGGCAGATGGAGAATGAAAGTGGAAGAGGACTCAAGATGTTCAATCAAGAGTAACTTTATTATCTACAATACAGCTTAAGTATAGTTCTCAGCAGGAACCATATCCCAGCAACATATGCATCAAAAATTAATGATTAACACAATAACCTTTAGATCACAATATCCATTCAATTAGGTTTAGCTATAAATCAAGTACATAGTGATTCTTGTCTCCAATTACAGTCTCTTCTCCCAAGCTATGCAGTTAGTGTGTTCCTTCCCAGAATCTTTGGTCAGCAAGGCTTCCCTTGTTGTTCTCTTCAAGGCATCCCTTGATCTGACAATGGCCTCAGAGTGGGCTTCACACACGTCCCGTAGCTCCTAAAAAAAAGTGAGGAGCAGGAACCCCATTTGTCCCTTTGACCACACCAAAGGTACGTGTGATGTGGAGAGAAAGTAACCTCTATCTTGAAAAGATGTTAAGAGTATTAAAAGAGGTTTGTTGTTGTTGTGAAGTGCCGTCGAGTCGGTTCTGACCCATGGCGACCCTGTATAGGGTTTCCAAGGAGCTTGAACTGCCAATCTTGCAGTTCAAATGGCTTTGCAGTCTGGCGCATTATCTCACAGCGCCTATTAAAAGAGGTACACATGAAAAAAAATATTTTTAAGTGTCCGAAAATAAAATTAGAAAATGTCTGTCACTTATGAATATTGTTGGGTTTGCTTGGCATTTCTATCTAGCACTGCTCACAGTAGTTTTGTGAGGCAGGTACTGGATGACAGTACATTATGGCAATGGAGAAGTCCCAATAAGATCTTGAGGTGAGAGTTACAAATCTGATCTGTACTTATTTTTGGTATTTGACAGGAGTCTCTGGGGACTGGAAAAATCACTTCACGGTGGCGCAGAGTGAAATCTTTGATCAAATATTCCAAGAGAAGATGGGGAGACTCCCTCAGGGGCTTTTCCCATGGGAATAATGGCCTAATGTTTCCTGCGGTGGCACTGTAGGATAAGCATAGGTTGGCAGTTCAAACCTATCAGTCACTCTTGGAAACCATATACAGGGTTACTATGAGTTGAACACACTCAACAACTCTTAACAACAACAGTTAGTTGAGTAGACTCCGGGGCACTTTACAGCAACAAGAACTATTTCTAAATCAGAAATGTACAGTGCCATCCAATTTACAATATCAAGTCAAAATGCATTGCTACTAGGGTTCCAGTTCAT